TTTTTTGCATACGATTTCACAAGAGAAAAAAAATTATTTATCAGCGTGACAATTAGCATTACATTGCAGTAAGAGGTGCAATCTGTGCATAATTTTGTGAATCACAATAATAAAAGCATAAATTACATTTTTGCTTATTTTACATATTTTCACCATAGTTGCGATTTTGTGCACCCAACAAATATGTTCGAATTATATACAATTGTTCTTTTTATATAGGTATATATGTATATTCTCCTTGTTAGAAGATTTTAGAACAGTTAGTTAAAAAAATTGTTAATAATACATCGAGAACTTAATCTTTTGCGATATGTGTATTAATAGTGCAATAAAACAGAGCAACAACAGTGTTAAATCCCCAGTAATATATGATTTTCGAGATGAGAGATATGTGAGTGTAAAAAACACGAAGAGTTCACAAAATGGTGTCAGAAAAAAATGTGCGTTATCACAGATGAAAACGTAGCAATTAAAAAATGTCATACAATAAATTGTATGAACATTAATGACAAAATTTGACTATCACTCTGAAAACGAAAATGCAAAATAAAATATTTCTCTGAAATTGTAACTTATCATTTTATCACATAAAAATATTGAAAATGCTTTAAAATAATAAAACTTCGAATGTGTCAATGATCACGATGATTGTATAAAATTTATGTTGTTCCATGTCTATAAGTTGTATGAATATGGAGGAACTGAAACAATAAATCAAGATCTTGTAACGGGCTTTCAACTGGAGTTACTTCTATTCCCAAATATACGATAACTCTCGATAATTACGTAAGTAACTCTACAAGCTCTGAGATATACTAACTTGCAGCCTAGTAGCAAAATTGTATAAAAATCGGATTTTAAGCTACTGTATAATGATCATAATTCTACATCTTGATGATCTACCGCCATTACTTCTACCGTAAATACTTTCGAACTTACACTGTAGTTAATACATCAAACAACGAAATGACTTTCAACTTTCGCTGAGGAGATTTAACAGACTTATCGACGATCATAAACATGTATCATAATAATTACACTTGTGCATAATTGAAAGCATTCTTAGCTATATTCTCAATACTGAAATGAAATATACTTTTTAAATATGCTTGTACATATTATCGGTCTCATAGTCTTCAAAATAATTTCATTTCTGAGAAAAAAGTACCCTAGGTAAATGATTAATTGGTACATGCAAGAATATAAAACTAAAGATAAATTTAAATCTTATCGTTGTTATTTTCTTTTCACGAAAGAGTAAAAATTTATTTACTTTTTATCAACGTTCCTTTCATTCACCCCTTACTGCAATCCTTTAGATCGATGCTTTCATTAATGCAGTACAAGTAAATTAAAGAACTTGCACATACCTCAGCTTTCAATTCTGCAACTTTATCCTGTAATTCTCTTACTCTCTCACTGTCATCTAAATTATTCCTAAGCTCACCTTCCGCATGCATCTCTTCATTCTAAAAAGAAGTAAAAACAATAAAAATTTTCCATAACTTTATACAAATAATTATATCGTAATATTCGAAAAGAGTAGTACTTTTAATTCAAGAAGAGATATTTTCTGGGTGAGTTCTGCCACTTGCTGCGCATGCTCTGCATCGCGTATCCTAGCCATCATGGCCTCGTCTTTCATCTTCGACTCCAAGTCGGAATACTTATGTTGTTGCTCCCGTAGTTTGGCAGTAAGTTCCTTTTCCCTAGCTAAAGCAGTTTCCAGGTCCTCCTCAAGTAACTTCCCACCTTCGTCTTGCCGACGAAGTTGATTCGTGGCGACCTGGACTTGAGTTTCAAGCTCCATGACCTTAAGTCTAAGCTCCTTCACTTCCGTTAAAGCTTCCATTTCACGAATCCTAGTTGTCATCAAATCTTCCTCGAACTTTTGCACCTCGTGACCCCTGTTCTCCCAGAAGAGAAGTTTCTTCGGCGTAGAATCGCTCGCAGGTTGATTCTGAGCGGAACGATGTTCTTGCAGATGCCTTTGCCAGGTACTGCTCAATTCCACCACTCTTTGCCGAAGATCCTAATAAATTTCTTACGTTATGATAACTTTATGAAGCACACACATACGCATTAACCTTCAGAAAATCTTAAACGATTCTTTCTAAACACTAGAATCGACGGAGATGTGAAAAACAAATTACCTTCAATGAAAGATTAGCCTCTGCTTCTCGTAGTTTCACAGCGATCAGTTCTTCTTGCAAGTGAGCAACTGAATTATCTGGCGTCGATTCACGCAGCGTCTTTTTATCTTGCTCCAGCTCTTGTATTCTTGCCCTGAGTTCTCTTATCGTTGCATCGTTTTCCGCCTCGTGCAACCGAACCCTTACCAATTCCTCTTGCAAGCATTGTATCATCTCCTCTTTCTGCGACAACGCTTCCTGCTTCAGTAAAATTTCATCTAGAGAGGACTGCTTCGATGTCACATTCTCTTCTAACAGAACGGACAAAGATCTCAATTCCTCGTGAGCTTGCTCCAGCTGGTGACTGGTCTCGAGATGCGTGTGTCGAAGTGCTGCTAATTCCCTTTGTACAACGAACGCGGTTTCCTCCTCTTCCGCGCGGGAAACTTGACCTCTGACTAATCTATCCGCCAATTCCGCGGACTCAGCTTCCAAGAGTTCTGTTCTTTGCCTAAGTAACCTATTCTCGGCCCTAAGCCTACGCAGCTCGACCATTTCCTCTTGCTCTTTCATTTTCAACACGGTATAATCTTTCTCTAGCTTCTTCATTCTCTTCGGATTTATTTTCATACCATAGGAAAGACACATGAGACCATCGGGATCTTTCTCGGCTCTTCCAGGTAGCTGTTTCTGGAAGAACTACACGCGAAACAACTGGTAAATATTAACAAGAAGCAAACGTAGATCCACGTGTATGTGGGGGAAAAACATTGTTTCTTAAATGGTCAAGTTTGCAATGCTCCGTTTCTCTTCTACAAACATGTACAATATAAGGTTTATTCTTTTTTCTTTTCTTTTCCTTTACAAGGTTCTTATCTGTAGACAAGACGTAGAATTCTGATTATAAGAATTACCTTCAACATGCCCTCCATGTCCAAGCTTAACAAATCTTCCTTGCCTAAATGCAACATGGCCAGCGCAACTTTGAAAATAATTTCCATGCCTTCGGACAGAAATACGTCAAAAATGCGGCAGGCCAGCGGTAGGCTGAGCGCTGTGGTGAAAAGCGTAAGAAACCAAGACGATGCGTACATCGAGGTGTGAAAACCTTGAGCCGTAAAATGAGCGTGTAACTCGGGATGCGTGTCAGCAACTAAATGTTCTAGCTGATACATGCACACCCCTAATTCAGCCATACTCGGCTTGAACATGTCTCGCAAACGATACTCTTGCATAAGCGCTACCAGTACAGCGAAAGCTTCTTCCTCTGGCATTTGCTGTAACAACAAATTGATATACCTATTTATTTCTGATCGACTGTGAACGGTAAAACTCATCCCACGTTTTCTATTTTCTTTATCAATTTTATTCTCTAATTTTTTTCCCCTCTAACCCCTCTCAAACATTAAAGTGTACCTGCATAAGGAGTAATCCTACAATAAATCCCGAACCTTGACAGTATCCCACTTCACGATCATGAAGACTATACGCTTTCATAACGTTAAACAGACTCTCCTGGCCAAGACCGTCTTTCTCCTTAAAGAAATCATGCTCAGGATACGTTCTGGCTATATCCCTCCTGATTATCCTTTCACATGCGGACGTGGCCTTGATATACTCAGCGAATTGCTTTTTCACAGGAGAGTCATGAGCACCACTTAGTAGTTGCCAAACAATACCTCTGCAATGATGAACACGAATCAGTTTTCTTTTTCTTTTTTATTCTTTTTTTTTCATATGTATGTTTATAGAAAGACTTTTTTACATAATCTAAAATGACTGATGAATCTGATGAATTTTATGATTCTTCTAGAATGATTTTCTTTGTAATGTTGATTACCTAAAATGATGAGGTATTCCTTGACGTACTAATTCTTTGACGAACTCTTTCCTCTTCTTCCAATGAAAATCCCAATCAGCGACGATATGACCCCATAGGGTCCACGTATTTTCTTCACCATCAGCTGAGTTGTGGCGTCGGGGTGCAGCATCGCCGTTTCCTCCGCTGCCCCCCGACGCCACCGACACCTGCGATGTGTCGGAACCTTTCCTACTGTGATTGCTTTGGAGCGAGTTCAACGACTTTGCATCCGATTCGATAAGCCTGTTATTATATCAAACTCTTAAGATACGCACTTCAGCTTAATACAGAGTCGCGTTTAAGAAAAAAAAAAGAAGAAAAAGATAGTTGAGTGGTAACATATGAGATATTTGATTGTACAAACATAATAGAAGTACATCGTTTTTCTGTTTGCTTCTTAGAAAACTAAACAAATTAAAAGACTTTTTATCAATTGATAGCTGATAAGTTTGACACAATATTACGCTTGAGGTTATTATTTCATTTTCTAGGTCGAGCAGAGTCGCAACGTAACAGAATTCTTTTTTTACTAACAAATGCCAGTCGTTTGTTTTTTTCATTACTTTCAGAAACTCTAAGTTAGTAACAATATGATTCCTTAGAAAACCATGTTCATATGTTACAACCCAAGAATTACAATTACTACACTAATTAATGCAAGAGTATATATTGTTCCTCACAGATGTGTGCTTATGTATCACTTAACTTTAAGACACAAAACGTAAATACATGTAATTAAGCAAAGACTGCCAGTTCAATACGAGAACATACTATCCAGGATAATTACAGGATCTCCTATCTTTCAAAATAGGGTGAACTAAATTATCAAGAATGAGAAGAAGGTACCTCGATATTTGATCAATTTCAACGAAACCTCCTAGGTAACTAAAAAGATCTACAGAAGAAGAAAAAAGCCTAATATTATGAAATCCTCATATATCTTACGATTTTATGAAATATTTAGCAGTAAAAATCATGCTTCACGCACTAGTTCATCCGAGTATCCAACTATTTACAATTCCTCTAGTGGTAACGCGATAGCTCAATACCAATCTTACAGAAACTTTTACAAAACATTCTGCCAACTCATATCTCTGTTCACAAGATAAAACTGTACAATTCCCTATCTATCACACAAAGTTTCACAGAAATTGATACCAGCATTGCAACGTTACACCGCCCCGCTAATTCTCTCCATCGTTCACGTATAATCTATCCTAATTACAATTGCAAATCGTTCCTTTTTCTCATTCACAAATAGCCGTGATCCTGTAGTTATCATGAATCACCCTACTTAACATACATCATTGAACGTATATAATAAAAGCGGCGTAATGAAATAATACATAAATATGTATATATATGTATATCTAAAGCACTGTTGTTTTATTCGCTTGGCGCATGCATTCGACGACAGGGTGAAATGTTACACTGTGACAATTCACCTATTGGCTTCCTCCAGCTTAGCTAATAGAGCCAGCTCGTCGGTGGGTATTTCCTTCGACGAGTTTATCCTCTCTTCTTCAGATGAAATTGGCGGCGTGCTCGGAAGTATCTTGCTCGACTGATTGTTGTTCTGACCGGTCTGGTGTACCGTGGTGCATAAACACAACACGCTCATCACCTGCGGTCCATAACGTGATAATCCTAATTGTCCGGCTGCCTGCTGCTTCTCTTGACCCCTGCAAAAATCATCATTCGTTTCAGTTCACTTGCTCAGTGGAGGGGTGACGTAACAGAGATTACATTAGCCTTTCACAACCTACACCGCCGCTACTACATGTTCAAGACTTCCTAGTCGGAGGAGCTGACATAAGTGGTGTCCTTTTATCGAATAATATACATCAAAGCTTCCCGAGTGATGGGCGAACTAAGATTGAAATCTTAGAAATCTTATACAACACAAAAGGTGAGAAAATATTGAGAAAAAAAGACATTCAACACACCGGAAGTATCTATTTCTGTTTCTCTGCTTTAAGAATTGTTGCCACTTTTTCTACTTTTTCATTCATAGAAAATGGAGGGAGAATGGATGAGATTAATTGCGAGTGAGAGTCACAATTGGAAAAACGAAAGTGTACAGTTATAAATAACGATCATTTTCTATTTCGATTGAATTATTTCTCTATGCAGTTGGAGAGATCATCGATAAGATGCGTCGAGTCTCCTCTCACATTTTTCCTTTTTTGATTTTATGAAATATTTAGCAGTAAAAATCATGCTTCACGCACTAGTTCATCCGAGTATCCAACTATTTACAATTCCTCTAGTGGTAACGCGATAGCTCAATACCAATCTTACAGAAACTTTTACAAAACATTCTGCCAACTCATATCTCTGTTCACAAGATAAAACTGTACAATTCCCTATCTATCACACAAAGTTTCACAGAAATTGATACCAGCATTGCAACGTTACACCGCCCCGCTAATTCTCTCCATCGTTCACGTATAATCTATCCTAATTACAATTGCAAATCGTTCCTTTTTCTCATTCACAAATAGCCGTGATCCTGTAGTTATCATGAATCACCCTACTTAACATACATCATTGAACGTATATAATAAAAGCGGCGTAATGAAATAATACATAAATATGTATATATATGTATATCTAAAGCACTGTTGTTTTATTCGCTTGGCGCATGCATTCGACGACAGGGTGAAATGTTACACTGTGACAATTCACCTATTGGCTTCCTCCAGCTTAGCTAATAGAGCCAGCTCGTCGGTGGGTATTTCCTTCGACGAGTTTATCCTCTCTTCTTCAGATGAAATTGGCGGCGTGCTCGGAAGTATCTTGCTCGACTGATTGTTGTTCTGACCGGTCTGGTGTACCGTGGTGCATAAACACAACACGCTCATCACCTGCGGTCCATAACGTGATAATCCTAATTGTCCGGCTGCCTGCTGCTTCTCTTGACCCCTGCAAAAATCATCATTCGTTTCAGTTCACTTGCTCAGTGGAGGGGTGACGTAACAGAGATTACATTAGCCTTTCACAACCTACACCGCCGCTACTACATGTTCAAGACTTCCTAGTCGGAGGAGCTGACATAAGTGGTGTCCTTTTATCGAATAATATACATCAAAGCTTCCCGAGTGATGGGCGAACTAAGATTGAAATCTTAGAAATCTTATACAACACAAAAGGTGAGAAAATATTGAGAAAAAAAGACATTCAACACACCGGAAGTATCTATTTCTGTTTCTCTGCTTTAAGAATTGTTGCCACTTTTTCTACTTTTTCATTCATAGAAAATGGAGGGAGAATGGATGAGATTAATTGCGAGTGAGAGTCACAATTGGAAAAACGAAAGTGTACAGTTATAAATAACGATCATTTTCTATTTCGATTGAATTATTTCTCTATGCAGTTGGAGAGATCATCGATAAGATGCGTCGAGTCTCCTCTCACATTTTTCCTTTTTTTTTTTTTTTTGTGAAAGAGGAATTGTAATTAAGGAAAATTTCATTAACGAATCCACGGTTCGTCGTATCGTTCACGGGAAATTAATAGGTTGAAGTGATGGACGAGTGGGGAGATCCTCCACGGATCGAGAATCCCCCTAATTAAAGCGTCGAAAAAACTCGCGTGGTTTTCGAAACCAGCCGCGAATTTCCACGGGGAAGGTTCGAATAGAAGAACGTTCATTACAGACAAACTCTCTGGCGGTCCCTTTCTCTCTCCTTCGTTTCTCATTCTGTCTGAAACTGTTGGCTCCGACGTTCGTTAAACCTCAATTAACGTGTTCATTCTACCTTTTCGACGTTTTATTTCGTGTCCATCGCGCCGCCGCTGGTGCCAGCAAACCACGAAGAACCATCGAGAAATTTTCACTTCTTCAACGCACGCAGACTTTCGATCGGTGGAAAATATTACACTCCAAGTCCAATCCAACCGAGACCTCGACGGACACCCGGTGAATTACTTTCGATCTTTCCACGAAGCGCTCGTCGCGGGCCACGATTTTCCAGCGATTTTCCGCGGTGCACGTTCACGTTCGACGATCAGAGGCATCGTTTTTCTTTACTTTCTTTTTCTTTTTGGGAATATTTCGCCGGTTCAGGGTACAGCTGGATTATTACGCTGAAATGATTAGCACGATGACGAAGTTTAATGGAGACGAAGTAGCGTTGCAGGGAGTTCAATTGAGTTTGATATTCGGTAGAATCATTTTCTGAGATTAACAATTTTCTAACTTTTCCAACATAAATTTTGCAATTTTGTAATTTTCTATTTCTTTGGATATTCAAATAATTGTGACGATGACGAAGATTAATACAGACAAAGTAGCATCGAAGAGTACTCAATATTGAATTTGAAATTCGGCAAAATTATTTTCTGAAATTATCAATTTTCTAATTTTTCTAAATTTGTAATTTTCTATTTTTTTTTTATGTTAAATAACTAGGACGATGATGAAGAATAAAACAGAGACAAAGTGGCGTCGAAGAGAACTCAATATTGAATTTGAAATTCGGCAAAATTATTTTCTGAAATTATCAATTTTCTAATTTTTCTAAATTTGTAATTTTCTATTTTTTTATATGTTAAA